CATGCATATCCTTGTAAATGTTAGTTGGATATGTATAATTCTTTTTGTCTTTCTAGATTGAAAATTTTGAGAAGTGGGTGAATGAAACAAAATTTCGAATCATGCGTCCTAACACGATGAATAAATATGGTGCTGTACTTGATGATTTTGGCCTTGAAACGATGCTTGACAAGCTTATGGAAGGTTTTATTCGTCCTATATCTAAAGGTAAAAGATATTTTTTTTATTTACACTCATTAATTCACGGTGATTTCCCTAATTTTGTATGTATATGCCAGAAGAAGCTTATCATCCTCTATTAAAATTTTCATTCTTGGTGCATGTTCAATTAATTAGTTTGGTTATTCTGCAGTCTTCTTTGGAGAAGTTGGTGGAGCAACCCTAGATTCTCATCATGGATTTGTTGTTGAATATGGTAAAGAAAGAGATGTTGACTCAGGTATTTTTTTTCTGCCTGATGCATTTCATTTTACTTGTATACTTGAAAAGAAAACTGTTGATGCTGAGCGTTGTGGCTGTATTCGTAATATTAGCCACAATTGACAAATGATAGTACAGCTTCACTATGCCCTGTGTTAGTATTATTAGCTATAATGGGCACGTTTTTTTTTTTAAACAAATTCTTATTCCATTATGTCTTAGAATGTGTCATAAAATGCTCCCTCTTAAACTGCTTCCGTTTATTACAAGCATCCCGGCTTTATCATCTTTATGTTCCTCATATTCACTAAGGCTATATTACCTAAGAAGAAAGCAAAAATTTATTTGATCATTTCACTGGCTAAATACAATTATACTGTGCATGTATACTGAAGAAGGCTAGGATCTTCATATGTCAACCCTGCAATAACCTTATCTTATTATGGCTAAGGGGCTTGTTGACAATCACAGTTCCTACATCCTTCTTTTGTTTAGGTGTTGGAATTTCTATATATGTTCCAAAGCTCATGCATAATTTATTTTGGGTGAACATATCTTTCAATGATATAAGATTCCGTTACTCCTGATCTCCTGAATTAGAACTTGTCCATTCGGTTTACGATGTATGAAGTAATGAAGTCTATATATATACAATCTTACATTTGTAGGTTTTCATGTGGATGACTCAGAAGTAACCTTGAATGTTTGCTTGGGTAAGGAATTTTCTGGAGGGGAGTTATTTTTTCGAGGAACGCGATGTGATAGGCATGTAAATACAGGGAGCCAGTCAGAGGTACGTCAATTCTTTTTTTCTTTTTTTGCCAAAGAGGTATGTCAATTCATAAAGATGGAATAACATAATTACATAAACGAAGATTGGCATTGAGAGGATCAAATACTTAATATATTGATTCATCATTTTTGGGATACGCATACATAGTTCTACTCATACTTGTAGAACAGGTGATCTTCAATTATTGATTAGGAGAAGAATCTATCTCTATGATCTTGATATTTTGTGATATGCAGCAGCCTGAGTTGTCATAACTGATTTACTGTTTTTCATTGTCTTGAGTAATCATTGAGTTGACTCCAAGAGGAAATGAACATGTAATTCTTTAGAGAACCATACAAATAATTTTTGTTTTGGGAAGTCTCTGCAAGTTGCATAACATTTGCAACTAATGTTATAATGAATTGAAATGGTAAAATATTTCTCATTTTACGTGTTTTAACTGTATTTGATTTTTTTCCTATAGTGGCATATCTTTGTTGATAGTGAAAATATATTATGCGGTTATTTGTGTTTGGGCTTATATTTTGCTCAGATGGAATCACTAAGGATAGTAGTTTATAAGTGCTATGGATATTTTTGGACCATCTCTTATTATACTTCGTATATGGTTGCACACTTTTTTGATGAAGTCATTTAAGCAGGAGATATTTGACTACTCTCATGTCCCTGGACGAGCTGTGCTTCATCGTGGTCGGCATCGCCATGGTGCTAGAGCTACTACGTCTGGTCATCGGATCAACCTACTTCTATGGTGCAGAAGGTGCTTTTGACTTTGCTTGCCCCAATTACTAGTTTTGTAATCCCTTCGATCTAAATGTAGGAGTTAGATGACTAATTTACAATGATTAAGGAGTCAAGTTAATTACTTGTAAAAATGTGTATTGGTTTCCTTAGAATACCCCTTTTTAGTAATTACGTTAGTATCTATCCCTATTGATGGAAACCCCCTTTTAGTAAGTGCAATTAATAGGGATAGTTTGGGAAAAAATATAAATTTCGGAGACAGTAGATTGAGGTCTTACATTCAGGATTGGAACAAGTCCGCCTACTAACTCCTACATTTAGGACAGGAGGGGAGCATCTCCTACATTGAGAGTTTGTCCTTCGTTTTTTAAACTCTGATTTGAATTCTTGTTCTTCAAATTTTAATTATTTTGTGTCTGAAAAGTGGCTTCCTTCGAGAACTAATGGGGGAATGGTCCACTTGTTATATCCTCTTCTAATGAGTTTATGTAGATTGTTCCCAATTCCAATCAAAAGGATATAAATAAAGCAAAACTCAATTGTGTTGTTTATTTTTAAGTTTCCTTCTGCGTTCTTAACCTGTTAAAAAAACCCCCTAAGGCTGCAGCTTTTATGGGTGGAAAGGGCAAAGGTCTTGCATTTCTGTTGTGCAATTGCTGCAGCATCCATCTGCGATGTCATTTCCCCACTCTGAGTCTAATCTCTTTCTTGAGAGGATCAATTACTTTAAACCCATATTGTTTTTTGATTTTTCTTATGAAAGAGAATCAAATTTATGAAATACATTGCATTATTTCTTTGCAGTTCTGTCTTCAGAGAGATGAAAAGGTATCAAAAAGATTTCTCCAGCTGGTGTGGTGAGTGCAATCGTGAGAAGAAGGCAAGGCAGCATTCATCAATTGCCGCTACAAAATTGGTAAATCTTCATCTAATTTTCATTCTTCTAGCTCATGCATCATGAGGCAGATTGTTTGAGTGAGTTATAACTTGTACGTGCACTGATAATGAAGTCTCCAAGTATCGTACTCTGTTATCAGTGTTTCCGTATGAGCACTGAGTCAGAGTTAGTCGACTGCTGATTCAGGGAGGCTTTGTGCTGAACGATATGAAATATTCTTTCTAGATATTCTAAGACATGCACTGTACCAAAGAACAAAAGAGGATGTACTGGAAAAGTAATTAAGCATTTTTTTTCTTTTTGATAGTAGACTTCACTGACAGTAGAGATTATTTTTCCCGAAGTATGGAAGGCAAAGGGTAGACTTATCTCAACTAAGTTGTTACAAACACAAGGGTTGGGATTCGAACCCTTAACTACTTGCTAAAGTAACAAGAGCTTTGACCACTCACACTAACTTTAGTTGGTAGTAATTAAGCATATTTATTCACCCAAGATATTGAAATTGATTTTTTTTTCTCTTGGAAAATGGGTTAAATGATATTGAGCTTTAGTAAATTAGCATTCATATTTCTAAAGAGTCAAAATTGAGTTCTTTTTATAAAATGTATTACATGGATATTAAGGTCTGGTTTTCTGAAGAGGGCAAAATGTTGAATAGATGTGTGTTTGAAGTAGATGGATAGAAACCTTATGCTAGAGTCTGCTGTGTCATTTTGCAAGTCCTGATTAATTTGCCTGGCTTTCACAAAGTTGTTCATTACATATGTATTTTAAATTATATTAAGCAATGTTGTTTGATTGGCATTTTTATTATATATCTTTTGAAGCCACATAATGAGTGACTTGCTGCTGAGAAGTACTCAAGAATCTGTCATCTATCTTGCCTTTTGATGGAAGTGCTTTCTGACTGAAGTTTATTTCTTTTTTCGAGTGAACAAAGTTTATTTCTTTAATCTTTATTGTACCGCTTGAAAATGCATGGCTGATGTTGCGGAATTTAACTGCAGGAACTGTTCAAGAGAGAAGGAGAGACCACCACATAATCCATGTTCAATGGACAGTCATGGTGCTGTATTCTTAATGCAGACAGCAAATCGATGCTGTTGATGATGTTCAAAAGTTTTCTTCAAGCTTCGTCGTCCAGGGGACTGTAATAGTTTCCATTGGAATGGTAGAGCTTCTTGGAAATAAGCTTCCAATTTTCTCACTCCTAAAAATTTGCTATCCGAAACTCTTGAGGTTGTATTTTAGGTCTATGTGCCGTAATATAATGCTCTTTTTTTTTTTGGCCCCTTGTGCACAGACTTACTATTCAATGGCAAGTAGTTTAAGCCTTGGATTGTCATAATTATGTGTCACGTTACAGCCTGCATAGTTCTATCAGAATATATGTAGTTACACAGCATAGCTGTTAGCATATTCAACTTTTGAAGTTGCTATTTTCAATAAATGAGTTGAGACTCGAAGGGATTGAGACCTTGTCAAGCCAGAAAATTTAAACGACCAGGGTGTGTTTATTTTTATTTTTTTTTGGATGAATTAAACGACTGAAGTTTTAATCGGTTTTGGGGGTTATCATAAAAAAAGATTAAGGATTGGCGCAAGTACGAATTAGTCTATTGAGATGAGTGTCAAATAAAATGATTTTTTCACGCATTACTGTTTTATTTGTTCACAGCGGTGTGAAATGTTATAATTTTATATTCAGTCAAAATTACTTTACTATTATTTAAAAATACCCTACATGACGAAATTTAAATGATGATAGAAGTGAACATTTGGAGAAGTCAAATGATATTAATGCCATCAAAAAGGACCAATTACAATGTAAGTCACCGATGAAAAAGAGTTTGAAAATATGAAAAAAAGTCAACAAGCCATTAATAGAGCAGAACAGCCGGAGCATTTGGTATGTGCATATCTCGGTCAAATAAGTCCGCCTTCTCCCGATGTCCTTCCTAGTTGAAGGATGAGGAATTATCAGAGCAACCTCTAATTAGATTTATTAAAAAAAAATTTATTTTAATAAATATAAAAAAATAAAATTAAAAAATAAATCTGGACCGTCGACGGTCGACTAGATTTTTTCATTTTTCCCAATGCAGCGATTCAGTGAAGGTGCGGAGCAGGAGAGGCGCAGAGGAGGCAATCCAAAAGTCCGATCATTATCTGCATTCTGTGAACCAAAAAGCAAACCCTCAGTTTCTCTATCTATGTCTGCAATCATTTTGACAGTTTTTCTCTCCCTTATAACTCAAACTCTCTCATCACTTCTTCCAGGTTCTTATTTCTACTATCTTGGAGATTTGGGTTTCTTCCGTGGCTGACGTGCTGCACCCACAAGAATTGTTGAAGGCAAAGATTTTTCAAGATTTAATCGCGTGCCTTAACTTTTTATGGGATCCATGATTGCTTGGTGTTTATATAGTTTTCTTGGGTTACGGTTTTATCCGAATTGAAATCCCCTATAGTGGCTTTGTACTTTTTTTTTTTTGGGGTCCTTTGGTGATATTTGGAAGGAAATGATTCCCGATTCCTCTGTAATTGTTTCTTATAGTTTTCTATGGTCAAGACTCCGCATGTTTTATTTATTTCAAATAGCTCGGAAACAAATATGTACGGAATAATTCACAGCTTTGAACGTTCCCCCGATACTGTATAATAAAATCATCTCATTGTTAGTAACCCCCCCCCCCCCCAAAAAAAAAAAAATCTTGTCCATCTAATTTATTTTTCTGGGAAAAAGACTGACAAACAATCTATAACTTATAATTCCCTATCATTGACGCACAAGATATATTATAATAAAAATTATTTGCATTTATTCATGGGGAGTCCCGTATTGAGTAATCGCAGCAACGGGCAACCGCTATTAGGTATCACTGAACCCATTTCATTGGGTGGGCCAACTGATTACGATGTGATCAAGACCCGTGAACTTGAGAAGGTTCTGTTCACACTTTCTGTTCTTAATTTTTTGACATTTTGTAAGCGTTTCATACTCATTTTGGATTCTGGATGTTCAGTATTTGCAAGACGCAGGACTGTATGAGAGTCAGGAGGAGGCTGTGAGCAGGGAAGAAGTGCTTGGCAGGCTAGACCAGGTTGAATTAAATTTTCTCGATATCATTTTAATTCTGTGAAGAAGTTAGAAAAAATATATGGCATTTCGGGAGGTGAAGTTTACCTGAGTGGCTGAATACTTTTTTCTTTGAATTTTTTTTGCATTTCTCTTCCGACCATTTTGGAGATGTGGAGGAACTTCCCATGCATTTTGTCTATTCCATTCGTGCTTTTGTATTATGAACTAGATTGTGAAGATTTGGGTTAAAGCCATTAGCCGTGCAAAGGGAATCAATGAGCAACTGGTGCAAGAAGCAAATGCCAAAAATTTACTTTTGGCTCCTATCGGTTAGGGGTACAAAGCTGTTTCATAATTTTTCCCTCTGGCACTCTTATATAAATATATGTATATCTATTTTGTCTGTTCTTTTATTTCCTCGCATGCTTGTTGGGATTGTCTGACCAAAGTAAGGCAGAGGGATCATGGGTACTTCATAGTCAAATGGCAAGCCACTTGTATTTATATCTTAAAGAACATCACATGATTTTCAAAGTTTGGAACAGGAAACGAAGTTATGCAGGGAGGCATAACCCCTTTCCAAACCATTGGCTCTAGAATATTTTAGAGATCCAAGGCTCTGAACAGATGTTATTTCACTTTTTGAAACTTGTGCTGTTGTGTGGCATGAACTCATGTTTGAAGTTGATTATGTGCATATGATGGATTCGGTATGTTTTGTCTAAGTAGTTGTTGATATGATATCTATGGCGTGTGGACTTTATGATTAATTTGAATGTATTTGTACATTTTTTTTGAAAATAATAATTTGTAGAGATACCTGTTTGTCTCCATTTTTATCTACCATTAGAAATGGATGTGACATGATAATTTATTAAGAGTTCATGTCATTTTGCATTTAAGTTTGATCATTGTTTATTGAAATGATTGCTAAGTACTCTCGAGGATTTGATTCCAAGAAAGGATTTTTTGAAAATTTCCAAGGGCACATTAGAAAGTCTGTCTGATAAACTATAATCTCTTTCACATGCATCCATCACAATAAACTAATGCAGAAATTTTGATGCTTGAACCACACACAAAGTTGACTAGCTATAAACACTTAGTATATGTTACCTTGAATAAGTTTGCATGATTGCATCACTTTTCCTTCTTAAACTTTGCCTCCCATATTTTGTAGGTGCATGGTCCTGGAGCAGATATAGACGCTCTTTGTGTGGCCCCTAGATATGCAAGCAGAGAGGTATGAGCCAAGCATTTGTAATGAGAATTTAATTTTCTATGTTAATATCCTATGTCAATTGAAATTTTTATTTGATTTGTCCTTAGGAAGATTTTTTTTTAGTGAGCTACAAAATATGCTATCTGAGATGCCAGAAGTAACAGAATTGCACCCTGTGCCTGATGCACATGTTCCAGTGATGGGATTCAAGTTCAATGGTCTTTCCATAGACCTCCTTTATGCAAAGTTATCATTGTGGGTTGTTCCAGAAGTAAGTTGTTGATGCAAAAATGGTTATGCTTTATGCTCAATTGTTGTTATTCGTCAAATTCCGGTCCTTCTTAAGCGTTTTTAAGACATTTAAGTGGTATCAGTTAAATTGTGAAGTCTAGGCTTTCAAAAGTGGCCTAATGTGTAATATATCTTCCTTTCCATCATTTTCTGTTGCATACTAATTGCAACACACTTGATTTCTTTTGGTGATGGTTGTATTTATCTATTTTTACTCCTTGGTCATACTGGATTCTTTGGGGTGCAGGATTTAGATGTATCACAGGATTCAATATTACAAAATGCAGATGAGCAGACTGTTCGCAGTCTTAATGGTTGTCGGGTTACTGATCAAATTTTGCATTTGGTTCCAATATTCAGGTAGGGGCTATTGATTTGGTGTGGAGATATATTTCTTGTTATCTTTTTGTGTTATTTGTTGTTGATTAAAGTTTTTATTTGAAGTGCAGAATTTTCGAGGCATTAAGATGTGTGTAAGATTTGGGGCAAAGCGCCGAGGTGTTTATGTCAAATTGTATGGCAACACTGCTGCACATTGTTTGCTTGCCTTTCCTTTGTGGCCTGAACTTGTTCAATGTATTCAGTTTTGTTCTTATCTGATGTACCTAATTTGATTTCTTTGTTAATTCTTCTCAGGTTTCAGGCTTTCTTGGTGGTATAAATATGGTGCATTGCTTGTTGCTCGAATATGCCAGCTTTATCCAATGCCCTCCCTAATATGTTAGTATCTCGATTTTTCTCCGGGTATACACTCAGTGGCGTTTGGCCAAATCCAGTAATGCTTTGCAATATTGAAGAAGGATCTCTTGGACTTCAAGTTTGGGATCCTAGAAAATATCCCAAGGATGGATATCATCTAATGCCGATAATTACCGACTCCTGCTTATCCTTGTATGAACTCCAGTTACAATGTGTCATCAAGTACTTTGCGCATTATGTCAGAGGAATTTCAAAGGGGAAGTGAAATATGTGAGGTATGATCTTATGGCACGAGAAATGATTCTCTTTTTGGCCAAACCTTGAATAATTCTGCTCAAAATTTCTTGTTCAGTGTACAAGTTTGTTGTATCTATGGTTCAATCCTATGATGGGGACCCAAAGTTGGTGTTCCCACATTGTCAAAATTATGCTAGACGTACGTGGAAATTGAATACCATTGTTTGATCATCTAGATATCTCTTTGGTTCACCGCATTTGTTGTTCTTACTTGATGCACTTTAGTGTAATAATCTGTCCCAGAAAGTTGGGAAGGAAGATTCTGAATTACTATATTTTTGAGGTAGCGTCTGCTTCCCCCTTCCCATATAGGTAACCATCAATTAGTATTAGAGCCTGTTTGGTGACGATTCTGAGGGGCTGCCCATGAAAGGTTCTAACTAGTAGGAGGCCGAGTTAAAGTTATGGACTATGGAGTGTAGCTGTTGGGATGTTGGCTTTCCATGGGGGGCTAATTGAAGGACTTGGTAGTATGAGATGCCAAGTCCTACATTGAGTAGCATGAAATGCTCATTGGAGAATTAAAGTAGGTTGGGTCTCCCACATCAATAGCTAGGTTTTGGGGTAGGTTTCCCAATCTCACTTGGTACCCACCAAATAAAGGGACCTGATCAAGGAAATAGTTGAAAAGTACAGAAATGTAGCAGTGGAATTAAATGAGGGGAAAATTCTAAGGTTTTGGATATTATTTATCAAGAAGAACCGAATCAGTATTAAAACAACTCACTAGTTCTGACCAAAAAACCCTATCTCCCCTTAATAATCACTTCAGAACAATTCAGCAACAAAAACAGGACTCAAACACACTTGCAGCAGTTCACACACCCTCTGGCATTCAAGAGGCTAGTTCTCCTCCACTTCACCCACCATGAGACTACTAATTCTCACGATGTGGTCCTAACACAGCCCATACTTCCAATTAGACTTCTAATCACATCACTGAATCATGGCTTACTGTTCCTTATGGCTAGGCTGTGAAGAATAAATATCTGTACCAATCATAGCGTTCCCCATTAAGCTACCCTTCTTCTCTAACTCCTCTTATAGGTGAAATCATGAGATTTATCACTATACAAGTGTTATTTATTTATTTATTATTTATTTTTTTCGTTATTTACTT